CTGCCAGGGCAGCCAGAGGGAAGCCCTGGATTCCCACATAGATCCTTGGGAATAAATTCATCCTTTGAGCTTGTAGTGCTTGCCACAACATAATTTCAGAAAATGATGCCTTCATTGAGAGCTTTCCAAACACTCCTAGTGACAGTGGCAATTCTCCATTTCCTGCTGTCCAGGTGATTTTCCTCTGGATGATGAGCACTGTGGAATTTTAGTGACAGACAGCTGAGGTTTAAACATCCCAAATAATCCTGATGGGGAAACCAACACTAGATTCAAGCTGAAGGGACTTCAGCATGGTTGAGGTGTTTGACCAGTGTCCAGCTGGTCCTGCACACAAAATTGGCCTGAACTCCCAAATTCTTCATTGTCCACCAGGATTTAAGTGGCAGAAGTTTTTTAATTATTGAAAAAAAAAAATCAGAGTTGGTTTGATTTCCTCGTTCTCATGGGATCTTCAGGTTCTACAGGAGAAAAACGCAGGACACCTTAGAGCTTCACCAGCCCATCCTAGAAGTGATTTTCACATGTGAAACCCCAGCAGGTGTTCAAGTTTGGTTTGCCAAATTTAGCAAAATATCTCTTGGCAAAAGGATGACTCTTTTTCCCTCTTTTTCTTCGGACAGGCCACCCCCAGAGGGAGGGATCAAAGAGTCCAGTTCTTGGGGGACCCAGCGCACCCAGGACGTGTTTTATGAAACCAGGAGCCCAGCTTTTGAGCGAGGCCACTCCGAGGAGATCCCCATTGAGAGGGTGAGCAAATGGGGGGGAGGTGGGAAGGGAGAGGGGCAGATTTTAGAGCTGTGGGAAAACTTGACAAATTTAAGAAAATGTGTAGAAAAAGGAGGTGAAGAGGGGGTGAAATGCAGGATATTTTAGAGGTGTTATAAAACTCCAGAAAGTTAAGAAAATCTGTAGAAAAAGCAGGTGAGATGCAGTAGATTTTAGAAGTGTGGTAGAATTTAAGAAATTTTAGAAAATACTTAGAAAAAGCAGGTGAAGACAGGGTGAGATGCAGGAGACTTCAGAGCCATGGTGGATTTTCAGAAGTTTCAGAAACTGTTTAGAAAAACCAGGTGAAGACATGGGGACCTGCATTAGCAGATCTGTCCCTTGAGTCAAGCATTGTTGTGTCTCTTGTTTGCTCGAGTATTGTGGAGAAACCCCAAACCTGGTAGCTCCCACAGCCTGATCTGGATATGCTTTTTCTGGAATTCTGTCTTGTTGCCATAGGTTACCTCAGGCTTTCTCTTCCTATTTCCCAATCCCATTGTCCCAGCTCAGGTGAGGGGTTTCTGGTTAGAATGACCTGAGGGGTTTCCAGGGTCACAGCTGGGGTTCCTGGCTGGTGGAAGAGCTCATCCCACTGCTTGTGGGATGTCCTTGCTGAGGACAGAATAACCTGGGCACTCCACTATGGGAATAAATCACACAGACTCCATTTTCTTCATGGTGGAAAAGCCCATTCTTTGTTCACATAACTCCTTTTTATACAGTTTTACAGAGCTCATGTGGGACTTCCATTGGTCAGCAGCTTTCTTAACAATTGCTTATTGGTCATTAACAAGTTGTTATTCTGTATTAATTGGTCACTCAAACCCGTGGTGTGTACATGCAGGGACAGTTGTTTGTGAGAGATAAATTTTGATTTTTCTATTTAACAGTATAAAACCAGTTTATACAGGAGTAAGATGTTTTTCACCCAGGAATAGATTGTTGTGCTAATGAAGTGCTCACACCAGGGTTGCTTTCACATGGGAACTTGCACAGTGCTGGATTGACTTAGAAGAAATGACAGGCCAGCCAGAGGAGGCCTGATTTTATAGAGCTTTTTAAAATAATTTTGCTACCTTACTGTAACACTCCACAGCTCTTCAGTTGCTCTGTTTGCCACGCCAGCATCTCTTCCCAGTCAAATCAAACTTCAAGAAGCTGATGGTGGCTTCAAAGCTGATGCTCCTGTTCTTGCTACTGAAACCATTCCATGTTTTGATCAGGTGGTAGAAATGAAGGAGATCAGCCCCACAGTTGCCAACGGGGAGCCCCAGCCAGGCCTGGAGAGCCAGGGCAGGGCGGCCTCCATGCCACGCCTGGCTGCTGAAACCCAGGTGAGCCATGGGGACTGGATGGTGGGAGGCTGAGAGCTGGCCAAGATCTCAGCTTCCCATCTCTGCTTGTCATGGGTTGGGAATGCTGGTTTTAAAAGATGTGGAGACAGGAATCCAGGTCTTGTGCTGGGATGGCCGGGGATTCCCTGCAGGGTGTGGCTGGGATTCCCTGCAGGGTGAGGCTGGGATTCCCTGCAGGGTGTGGCTGGGGTTCCCTGCAGGAATGGCTGGGATTCCCTGTAGGGTGAGGCTGGGATTCCCTGCAGGGTGTGGCTGGGATTCCCTGCAGGGTGAGGCTGGGGTTCCCTGCAGGGTGTGTCAGGGATTCCCTGCAGGGTGTGGCTGGGATTCCCTGCAGGGTGAGGCTGGGATTCCCTGCAGGAATGGCTGGGATTCCCTGCAGGAATGGCTGGGATTCCCTGCAGGGTGTGGCTGGGATTCCCTGCAGGGTGAGGCTGGGATTCCCTGCAGGGTGTGGCTGGGATTCCCTGCAGGGTGTGGCTGGGATTCCCTGCAGGAATGGCTGGGATTCCCTGCAGGAATGGCTGGGATTCCCTGCAGGATGAGGCTGGGATTCCCTGCAGGAATGGCTGGGATTCCCTGCAGGGTGTGGCAGCTATCCTGTGCAATCACAACACTGTCCCCAGTTTTACTCCTCCCTGCTTGCAGCACCAAGCATCCCAGGAATATCCCCTGTCTGGGCCACCCCAGAGTGTCTGGGTCCCTTTTTGGGGACAAGGCCATGTGCAGGCTGTATTCCTGGAAGACACTTTTTCCCATTAGTTGTGTTGTTTATCTAGCCAGCCAAGCCGTGTTCCTGTGCCCTATCCTTCCAAAAAGCTGCAGATGTGCTGTGACACACACAGCTGGATGCAGCAGGCACAGGGACTACCTGGAAGCTGCTTGGGACACTGAGTGTGTTCCTTGTATTTTCCTGTACTGTGACCTTGGCCAGTAATTTTGTGTTGAGGATTTCCCTTGTTGATTTATTTAACTTATTTTCCAAAGAAATCTCCTCACTGGAGTTGACTTTCACAGCAACTTGTGGGCACTGCTGTGTGTGTAGGATGTCACAGATCATTTTTGGCCATTTCACATGTTCGTTGCTGTTTGTCCCCAGTGCTGCCCAGCCACCAGCCTGCCTCCTGTGTCACAACATCTCACCACTCGTGTCCTACCTCATTCCCAGGGCCTGATTCACACAGCCAGGAGGGAGCAGCCTGGCCTTGGGCTGTTTCCATGGCTTTCTGGGGGAAACAGAATGTGAAGGATCTGCTGCACCCCAAAGTGAAAGCCTGTGTTGTGCACACACAGCAATAGCTCCAACGGATAGAATTGTTGTGCCAAAATGCTGGAGGTGCCCCTTGCCAGCCAGAGGATTTCCCACCTGGCTCCAGAAACTGTGGCCTTTGTGTGAGCCCTTGGGATTCTCTGAATTATCAGGAGTGCTCCTCACTGTGCTTAATAAAAGCAACAGCCCACAAAGCAAAGCTCTTCCCAGAAATTGTCCTTTATCCTAGACCACAGGTAACCTCTTCCCTTCCTTGGCAGTGCAGCTGGCAGAGCTTTCCCTTGGGAAGCTCCTCTCCATGGCATTCATTTATGTGCAGGAGTGTCCCTGACAGAAGTGTGGCTTGTGTCCCCAGGCTGTCACTGCCCCTCGTGCCACACCTGGTTGTGAATCAGGCCCGGAATCTCCGATCTAACCTCATTTAACAGTACAATGTTCAGTGGTTGTAGCTTGGTGAATAACTGATGTCCTTTCTGTGTGTGTCTCCCCCTCCACGCCCCCCACCCTCCCTCTCATGTGCTGCTCTGCCCCTCCCCAAACTTTGAGTTCTTTCTAACTCTTATTTACAACGCTTTTTGCTCCTGGACACCTTCCTTTCTGTTTGCCTCTCGTTTTTTATGTTCCACTTATTTAAAAAAAACCCTCCTCCTGAGTTTCCACCCTCCCTCGTTGCTGTCCTGCCCTCATCACCTCCCTCCCTGGTCGTCATCGTGTCTGCTGCACATCTGATGTCTGACACTGGCTGTACTGTGGGGCTGCTTCCAATAATGTTCCTCACCTTGTCCGAAATGTTTGCAGAGGAGCAAAGCACGGTCACCTGGGAGTTACCTGGCAGTATGTAGTTTGCACTAAATTGTATCCTATTAAATTCATCTTAAGAATTAATTAACCTTCCTTTAACCCTTGACTTTTCTCCCCTCTCATCTGGAGTCGCTCCGGCACAGTCTCTTCCCCCTTTTCCCTCTGCACGCTGCTCGCTCTGGTAGCAGGGGTTGGGTGGGTGGGTTGCTTTATTTTGATTTGTTTGTTTTCATGCCTCGTTGCTCCGGAATTTAGGCAGTGAAAACAGTCGGGTTGGTAATGAAGAAGCAATTAGGATCTCTCTGCGGGGATGCATGCAGTCTCCCGAGGCTTTTTGGGAGCCTGTGGCTCCCATAACAAGAGCCTTGCCAGGATTTATGGAAAAAGGATTGATTGCTTTGCCACTGATTTGTGTCAGTGGGACTTCTGTCCCTGGAATAAGCGTGGAAGCAGGACTAAAGCTCAAAAAGGAATCTTCATTTTTTGTCAATCTTTGTGGAGTTTTTTTGTTGGTGGTGGTGGGTTTTTCGTTTTTGTTTTTTTTGTTTTTTTTTTTTCCCTTTTGCTTTCTTTCTTTCTGGCAGCCCCTCTATGGATTTTGAAAATCTGGTATCTGGATGTGTTTTTTTAGTGAGAAATACTTTCACTTCCCATATTTTTGCCCACCAGACTGTCCAGTTTACAGCCCCCCCTGCCTTCCCCCAGCTGCAGGCTCAGCACTGAACAAGGACAGATACGAAGCTCCTGAGTATAATTTCTTGCCCACACAAGTGAGGGCCATAAGAGGTGACACTAACGTGGTCCTGCTGATGGAATTGGTGCTTCCAGGCCCACACCACAAGCTGTGCTGGGCTCCCTCATCCCAGCCTTGTGCCTCTGATAAACCTTCCAGCAGCAGGATCCCAGCTGCCCTTCAATGGGAAGCACCAAAATGTGGGTAACTGCCTAGATCGTGCCTTCACACCAGGATAATCTGCCCTCAAGGGGAGGGAGAGTGGTTTTTCCACTCGAAATAATGAGCAGAGCTGTGAAACAGTTGGCTTTGCCTTGGGTAAATATCACAGGGAGGCAGAGATCTGGGTTTCAGGATAAGCAAACAAAAGAGAGCAGACAGTAAAAATAATACAGAGCTCTTAGGAAAGGTTACAGTGAGTAGAGTAAATGTTCCCTGAGAGTTGGTGTTGGAGGCACTTATTGGATTGGGAATTCAAACAAGTGTAATGCTGAGGGGCTGGGGAACATCCTGAATTTCTCTGTCGAGCTGGGACACCGTGCTCTGAGATGTCTCCTCTGGCACGTGGCTCGGATGCAGTGACAGACCCAGGGGAGCATCCAGAGGCTGGATGAGGTGTTGTCTCCACACAGAGCCAACCAGAGGCTAGCAGAGAAGGAAATATGGGAACTGTCCCTGTTTTCTGAGCGTTATCCCTGGGCAGAGGGAGGGCAGAGGCTGTGAGAGGAGCTGTCCTGCAGGACATTGTCTGGGGTTCTGCAGAATCTTTGTACCTAAAGGGAAGGGAGCAGGGTCTGGAGCTGCCACTGGCACAGGGAGGAGGTCCAGAAATGCTGTTACAGCTCTCAGTGCCCAGATGTTTGGACACAAATCTTTTAAAAACAGCAATAGTAAACCCAGGTATTCCATTCTGGAGATGTCCTGGTGGCATTGCAGGATGTACACACTATTCTTGCCCCTGGCAAAGGGCTTCAGGGAGAGATGGTGGGACAAGAGAGGTTTAAATGTTTGATGGGAGTTGTGTTCACTTCAGGGAGATAGAAGGAATTTCCTGGTGGCTTGGCCTGTACCTCCTCCCGATTCCTGATTTTTCTCGCCCTCCATGTGGTGCTCAGCAATGCTACCTGCTTTCCTCTTTGGAGCTGCTTTGGGATGCAGGCCCTGGAGCAGCTGTGGGTGCCCCTGGTGTTGGAGAACTCCCCTTGTGAGGTGCTTGGCTGCTGCTCTGCCCCGTGTCCCTTCTGAGCTCCCTGCTGGGTGTGCTGTGCAGTGCTGCCTGTGCCTCTGCTCCCGTGGTCCCCATGGATTGGCACCCGGAGGTCACATTCACTCCCCAAATTCCACACTCAATCCACATCCCACAGATCCTCCGGTTGTCTCCAATTATCCATTTCTCTCCTTCCCCTCCTTGCCCCTTTCTCTGGCTGTTTAACCCCCTCCATGCTGGGAGCCAGGCCGCCGAGCGGGGCGCGGCCGTCCCTCACGGTGCTCCGTGTCCCTGCCTGTTCCCCGCAGCCCATCCCGGACACGAGCCCCATGAAGCGCTCGGTCTCCACGCTGGCCCCGCAGCGCCCTCACGCCATGCACCTCTACGAGTATTCCCTGGAGCGGATGCCTCCGGAGCAGGGCCACCACCACCACCACCACCGCTGCCACCGGCGGAAAGAGAAGAAGCAGAAGTCCGTGGATAGGGCCGCCCATCACTTGGCCGATGGACAAGCTGGTGAGTGCTTTGCCGACGAGGATTTGTCCCTGGGAGGTCAGGGAGGAGGTGTACGTCCCCTGTCCCCCTCTTTTCTGGTGGGGTTTGGGGTCCCGTGTGTGTGGAAGGACCTCCGCACCCCACACACGCTGGTGACCCAACGTTCTCCTTTCAGTAGCCCAGTCTGGAGAGTCTTCTTCCAAGGACAAGAAGCAGGAGCGTGGCCGCTCCCAGGAGAGGAAGCAGCACTCCTCCTCCTCCTCCGAAAAGCAGCGCTTCTACTCCTGCGACCGCTACGGCAGCCGGGACCGTGCCCAGCCCAAATCTGCTGACCAGAGCAGGCCCACCTCCCCCAACGGGGGCCCAGAGCACGGCCCACACAGACAGGTGAGGAGAGGCAGGGTGGGGAAGCAGCCCTGAGGTCTGCCAGGGATCTGGGCACCTTTTCCATTTTTAAATTCCTTAAACTGGAGGAGGTGGAAAGGGCAAGGAAGGTCAGGCAGTTGCAGATAAAACCATCGAGGTCCTGCTTGGGGACTCACACCAAGGTTGGAAAAATCCTTCAAGTCCAAGCTGTGCCCAGTCCCACCTTGTCACCAGCCCACAGTGCCACGTCCAGGCCTTTCTTGGACACCTCCAGGGATGGGGACACCAAACCTCCCTGGGCAGCCCCTTCCAAAGCCTGTCCACCCTTTCCAGGAAGACATTCCTCCTGATGTCCAACCTGAACCTCACCTGGCACAACTTGAGGCTGTTTCCTCTTGTCCTGCTTCCTCTTACATGGGAGCAGAGTCTGACCCCCCACCTGGCTCCATGCTTCTGTCAGGGAGTAGTAGAAACCAAAAGGGTCCTCCCTGGGCTTCCTTTTCTCCAGGCTAAAATGTAGTTCTCCTTTCTCCTGTAACTGTGAGATGCTCAGGCCCTTGGGAGAAGCTGGGCAATTTCCCCAGGGTGCTGGAATGTTGCTGGTCACTGGGAGAGCCAGGCAGGGCAGAACAAGCAGTGACTGACAGCCTGATGAGTTGATAGGAAGGAAAAAGTGCTCTTTAAAAATTAAAGGTCTGGTCTCAAAATGTTAGGTTGGGAAGGGCTGAGGGGATTGTTCAATGTGCTCATGTCCTGCCTTGGGAGAATGTAAACAGAAATGGGAAGACAGGCCCTTTCCTCTCACTCGTGGCATTTGTGTAAATCCAGCTTAGTTCACTCTCACAAGGCATTATTAGGAACCCAGGAAGCTGCCAGACTCTTCTACCACTCCAAAATCAAATGTGTAATATTAGAGAGGAGAATGTGAACACATTTCTGTTAAAGGGACTTGTTAAAGCCTGTCCAAAAAGCTTTTGGTTGTTATTTTTTCAGAAATTGGCTTTTTAATCCAAAGGCACTTCATTCCCACCCTGCAAAAAGCAGTCACCCAGATCCTCTTCCCATGCAGAATCCATAATAATAACAACCCATAATCCAGTTTTGGCAACAGAAAGAGATTCATGGAATCTCTAAGTGGTTTGATTTGGAGGGGACCTTAAAGCCCATCTCTTTCCAACCCCCTGCTGTGGCCAGGGTCACCTCCCACAAACCCAGCATGCACAACTGCGGGGTGATGTTCTGCAGAAACCCACCCCAAAGCAAAACTGCAAAAAAGTCAGCAATAATTTGTAAAAATGCCCAATAACTCGGGTTTTTGAGCTGCTCCCAGGCCAGGTAAGGCGCATGTCGAGCCCTGTATGCTGTGGGTGCCTCCCCTGGGCAGTGTCCCCTCTGTTGGAGCCGTGTGCCAGTTCGCGTCCTACCGATGCTCTGCCCCTCTCTGTTCCTACTGCTCCCAGACTTGAATTCTCCAGCTCTTCACATCTCGTGTTGAATTATCTCTCGAGAACCTCCCGCCCCGACTGTGCTTGTCTAAACTCTCTCTTTTTTTTGCTTTTCTTTCCTCTTGTGACTCGTCTCCGCCTTCTGTTGCTTCTCCTTCTGTTTGATACCTGCCTGCCTTTGTGTTTGTCCGGCGTTTCCCTTTTTTTATTTTTTGATTTGCTCTGTTCCAATTTTGATGTAGGGCAGTGGTTCAGTTAATGGGAGCCCCTTGCTGTCGACATCTGGTGCTAGTACCCCCTGCCGGGGTCGGAGGCAGCTCCCACAGACTCCACTGACCCCACGCCCCAGCATCACTTACAAGACCGCTAACTCCTCGCCCGTGCACTTCACCACTTTCCAAACCCCCACGTTCTCCCCGGGCCGCCTGAGCCGCGGGCTGTCCGAGCACAACGCGCTGCTGCGGGGGGAGCAGCAGCCGCCCCCGCCCGCCGTGGCCCGCATCGGCTCCGACCCCTACCTGGGCCACCGCGCCGCCGCCAGCCCGCAGCGCGCCGCGCCCGAGGACACGCTCACCTTCGAGGAGGCCGTGGCCACCAACTCGGGCCGCTCCTCAAGGACTTCCTACGTCTCCTCGCTGACCTCGCAGTCGCACCAAATCCGCCGGGTGCCCAACGGGTACCACTACACGCTGGGGCTCAACACGGGCCCCGGCGCCCGAGGACGCAGTTACTACCACGAAGCCGATGAGGATGACTGGTGCTAGCGGCTCGGCGGAACCCTGCGAGGTGTGCGTGCTTAATAAGGATGAGTTTTATCATCTGGAGGGCTGGGAGCTCCCCTGGGGGCCCGGGGCCAGAGGCGGCCGGCGGGGCAGCCCTGAGAACTGCTCAGTGCCCGGGGCCGGAGATGCCCCTGCAGCCTCTCTCTCCTCTGTTGTTCTTTAGTTTTTTCCTTTTTGATTTGTGTTTTTTTTTTTGCACTAGACAGATGGAGGAAGAAGGCTCCCTCCTTCTGGGGAAGGCAGCGGGGGGAGCACATCCCTCTCTGCCCCCTCCCCACTGCCTTGTCTAGTCCTGAGACACGCACCAGGTGCCAACCCGGCCATGGAGGCGAGGAGCCGGGAGAAGAGAGATCCTCACCTTCCACGGTGGAAAAGCAGAACTGTGGGTCCTTCTCATGATTGGCACAGTTTTGTTGGGCTATTTCTTAACTAATTTTCCATCATAATTCCCCCCTTCTCAGGGTGGGAGCCGGGGGCCGCAAAGGGACTCGCGCAAACAACGCTCGCCCCCCGCGTTTTGTCTCGTTGAGTGCCGAGAAGGAAGAGATGCACCCGAGAAACTGGGAGAGGAGAAACACAGCCCAGAACAAAGGACAGTCCTTTGGGACTTGATGTTCAGCCACTGCAATCCTTTAGGGCAGAGCTGGTGCCACCCTGAGGTGACCCTGCTGTGACACCACTGCCCCGGGGGTCTCTAATGTCACTCACCACATCGGGTCCTTCACACTGACACACGGTAAAGCCACAAGAGAGCTCCTTTGTAAGGACTGTTTCCTTGCTGCTGAGACTTTTCAATCCATCCCTCTCTCCTGTTGACTGCAACACACCCTCACTGTTTTGTCTTGTTTACAATATAAGCTTGATTTAGCAAAAAACAACTTAAAAAAAAAAAAAGTCCACAAAAAAAAGACCAACCCAAACAAAAAGAGGAGAAAAAAGCGTAAGGGTGAGAAGAAGAAATGTTATTGGTTTTATATCAAGTATTAGATAGAACTTTAACTTTTCATTGTGTGCATTTTTGTAAATTGAAAAAAAAAAAAAAAAAAAAAAAAAAGAAAAAGAAAAGAAAATTTCCTCTTTCTGTAGAGAATTAGTCCAATTGTCATTCCAGGTCCCACCGTTTCTACCGAATGCTCCAGTTGTTCACTAACTAAGTGCCTAACCTTTGAAATCTTTCACAGTGACGATGCAACCTCTTGCTTCGAGGCATCAGAGCTTGGGCGAGCGTGGGGAGGGCGGAGGGAGCGGGGGCCGAGCGGCCGGAGCCTCGGAGGGGCCCTGGGGTCACCGAGCCCCAGGCTGGGAGCTTCCAGTGGGGAAGGCAAACGTGCTTTGGGTTTGGTTTGGGTTTTGTTGGCCTTTTATTTTTATTTGTTTTTTAGAATATATAAATATATATATATATATAGATAGATATACTTTTATGGGTGAGAGGGGAGTGATTGCAGCAAACAAAGCCAGCCTTGTCTCATTGCCCAGTGGAGGAAATGTAGGTGGGAAAGGGCAGCATCTGCAGGGGTGCTCCTGCAGGAGAAGCAGCATCTCCCACGGGCCAGCTGAGAGAGCTCTGGCCATGCATCATTGATGTGGAGGGCAGCTGGAGTGAGTTGTTTTTATTGCCTGATAAGAGAAGGTTAAAAAAAAAAGTGATGATGATAATAATAATAATCCAAACCTCTAACTCTGATTCTCAGGGATGAGATTTCTGCGTTCTTGCAACGACTCTTGTGTTGGCTGGTTTCTTTCTTTTGTGCCCGTGTGGATTCCTGCACTGTGAGCCTGGGAAAAGGGCAAATGCTGTGCTGGCGGGGAGGGAGGCTGGGGACAAAGCTCGGCCAGGACCTCGTGCCTGGGGCTCTGCTCAGCCCTTGTAGGGCTGGTTCGGGGCACAGGGCAGCCAGAGGACGTGGAGAGGCTAAAAGGTGAAAGGATGGGTGGGAGGTGCTGGGCACATCCCTAAAAATGCCACTAGGAAAGAGGATAGGGTTGGAGAGTTGAATTTTTTCAGAGGATCTGCCAAGCCCTGTGGAACTTCTCCAGGTGCAGCGGTTGCGTGGGGTGGGTGGAAATCCCGCTGGCCCTGGCGACCTGTTCTGTCCCTGGGTTGCTTGGAGGGGATCAGATGCCACCAAAATGCTCAGGAGGTCTCTCATGCTCCCAGCAAAGTCTGTCAGCCTCAGGCAGGAGCAGTCTGCTCTAGGGTGGTTCTTCACATCTCCTGTAGCTCTTCTCTTGAGGAAACTCAACCCGGTTTTGTTCCCTCCGGTGTTTTGTTTTAATTTTGTTCTGTTCAGTAGCAATCTCTGGCCGATCTCATCCCTGGATTCTGCTAAAGGATAACTCCTGTCTGTATCTCTGTCTCTGTACTCGTGTGCACTCGGAATAAAGGCAGTGTGGTAGCCAGAGGTCACGGCTGGCATTCCTGGCATTCCCAAACGGAGGGCTATGCAACCAGATGACACGTCCGGACACACACCCACCCCACCACCACTCTGAGACCTTCATCCATCTGTAGCTTTAGCTGCTGGATTTTCCTGTTTCAGGCTTCAGCACGATTGTGACCAAATGTTTTATACATTTTCCTGAAATGAAGGCACAAACACTTTATTTGAAATTTTCCAAGGGAACGTTCCTATTTTACTCCAGGAAGTCGAGGGGAAGGGACAACACCATCTCTCTGCCCGTGCATGCAAACACTGTACCCACACTGGAAAGCAACAGAGATGTCTTTCTTTACGGAATAATTCTGTCTTTTCCCCCTTTTCCTCTCCCATTTTTCATCCCCAACCCCCCAGCCCTGCGCTTACACAGCCTTGGGTCACCCCAGTTCGTAGGCAGAACACAAAGAAGAATCTCAAGTTGTCCAAATCCTCCACCCACCTCATAGGGGTCGATGACAGTGACAGACAAGCCTGACCACAATTATCCATAACCCTTTCCCGACGTTTTTTTACAGCCTCTCTGCTGTCTCTCCATCTTTCCAAGAATCCTCATAGTGAGTTGCCAAACTTGAATTGCACCAATCAGTTTTCTGCATCCAGAACCAGTCTCGTAGTGGCTGTACTTTGAATAAGTAATGTTTGCATGTAATATATATACATATATACATATCTATAAAAAGTATGTGCATGGAAAAATGTTTATCTTCGTACTTTTTTGATACAATGTATTCATCAGTTGTTAATTTTTAATTATATTTGATATAAATTTGGGGGTTTGTTGCAAAACTTTATATTTAAAAAACAGTGTGAAAAACGATCAAAGTTC